ATGAGCGGTTGTGACCTAACTGCGGGATAAGAACGGCAGGCCATTTTGTTCACGTTGAATATTAACGGCTTGACGTAGGCCGTTTATCGTGAATTAAAAAATCGACACGCCTGACACTAAATAATTAAAAATATCCTGGCTCGAACGCTCAGTATACTGATATTTTTATGTTTGATATTTATTCATATTAATGCACATTTTTACCTAGTATTATTTTAGACAATTTCAAAGTTTAGCAGTCCTTTTTTTTTTTTGTTACACCGTTTAATCTGTTTGTTTGAAATTTCTTCTTGAGAGCCAAAAGGAAGGGGGTGTATTTGTGCCCTGCGATATGAATCTCGCCACAAGTGCCCGAATTGACTCGATCGAAAACGCTGTGATGGATACAAGACAGTGTCAACTACATTAACATTGTATAGCGCAGTCACAAAAGATGTTATCAAAACCTATAGACGTCTCGCAGAGAGCAATACATTTCATTTCTGTATTTCTCGTCCTCAGCACGCAAGCGAAAAAAGAGACGGGGCGAGGACTCGGAGAAAGAAGTGGTTGCGGCGGCGGCGGCCGGAGTTGCCAAAGAACAAACACGAGCAACGCCGCGGCGGCCGCTTTCGCACCACGCGCGTAAATATTTTACTTCCGCCGGCGCTTCGCTCGGCTTTCTATGCGCGCGTAAAGCGCAACTAAAACTTTGCCCTGACCTGCCGCCATGATTCCGTAATATTTTAATGAATGGTATCAATGTTAAATTGCGGCGTGGGGCCCCCTGGGGAGATGGCTGCGCGGTCGCGCGGGAGCCCTCCGCGGCCTCCGAGCCCAGGGGAAAGGGGAGCGGACGGGTGACTACGAGGCCAGGATGTGGTCTGATTTGAATACACTTAACTTGAAGCGGCTTTTTCCATGTAGACACAAATGTTTAATCAGGTAATGTTTATTCATGTTCTTTTATAATAAAATGGATTATGTTATAGTAAATTGAAATAAATCGTTATTAGTTTTTGGAGTGGATTACAATCGGATCTTCGGAACAGGTTTTATAACAAGGTAGAATTTACTATTTATACTGTTTTGTGTTACTTGGACATTTGGTTTGCATTTCCGAAAAAAGTGTTTTTGGAGACATTTTTCTTTCGTGTTTTTTTGGTCTGTTTAATAAGTTAACATGGATAACTCGAAGTATATCAAACAATGAATATTCAATTTAACCGTTAGGACTGTCGACTACGTCGTTCCTTAAGCTTATAGAAATATAAGGTAACTATTGAATCTTGTCCGAGGATATTCGTACTATTTTGAAGCTGACAAACGTTTTACTTACCCACTCACATCTTTTTCTTCGTCTTACCCCTTACCCCCTCGCATCTGTTCAAGAACGAATATCCATCACTTTGTATATCTTGTAACATTCCTATAACTATCCAACATATCTTAAATGATTCCACAGTATTCAGACTCGCGTATTACACATTCACTTTCAAGTTATCTCCCCAAATTGCTGGTTGAAACATCTCCAGTATATAATGTTTTCAAATTTCTAATAGGTATACATTCATTTAATGTTTGTAAAGAATTGTATGTATAGTTGCTAATGACCTTGTAGCGCATGCGGTCAAAAAATATATCAAACAACTTTTTTGTATTCAAAATAAAGGGACTATATTTTAGTCAGAAAGGTAGAATTTTTATTGCAAATTATTAAGTTGGTTTAGGCGTTTATATTAACTGAAATATTTGGCACAGTTCTACATGATGATCGCTAAGATAGTATTTTCCATGAGAGCGGTGAATGAAAGTTTTGAAGTTAGTGAAGCATTCTTAGAAGTGTTTGCAAAAGCATTTATATAAAAACGCACCTATGTATATTTTGGATCATAAATTTAATTTTTTGACATGTCGTTTCTCGCACTTGTTTTCCGAGTGCGAAACAGTTAGTTATTTCACAGTGAGTGAAATAATGCGAAACGTGTGGAAAATATTTCTAACGATTCGCAATTGTGTTTTGTCATTACGACGTCTTTGTTTATTATTTTCAAGCGATGTTAAGACACTGACTGATCCATTTACTTTCGCACAAGAAAGGTGTTTATAGTTATTCAGCCACGGATCCACGTGGAGTGCAATGAGGGAAATTACCCCACCCCAATTTTTTGTAACTATTAATTTTAACTTGTTATGAAACTTTCATGCAAAATATTTTCGAATAATCACTAAAACGAATAATATCGTATCGCCACATGAGCTGAGTGTAGCCTGAGACATTTTACAAAGTCTGTAATGACACATGTCACCAAAACTTTTTTAATTGTGCCTCCCAAAATGTGTCTCTGGATCTGCCCCTGAGTTATTTTATATTTAATTTATATTTCGTAACTCGACTCATTGCGTTTCGCTCGCGTCGTGTTAAAAATGGCATACGCAATACGGGAGCGAGGTGATTCACGTACTAGTGGAGTTCGTCGCTTCGCTGGGACGACAAAGAGACGAGAAATTTCTTGACGTTAACTACTATTTTATTTTGTCAAAGTTATTTTCAGCATTAATAACAAATATTTTACAAAAAGGAGCTCTAACCTCTTCTGGATGTGTTCATATGTTTGGTGTTGAATGTTCCTAAGTTTTAGTGTTTGGGAGCAGTCAGTTCTTTTGGAGATGGTTTTGCTACGATTTCTATTCTGTGAGCCATGTAAGAATTATTGCCGAGGATTTCTAGCTAATGTTCGTGAAATGACGTATTGCCGTATAGTTTCAGCGCTCATTGCTTCATCTCTTGTGCCTCGTAAACTTAATTTGCAGCAACTAAGTAGTCCGTGACTTTCTTTTAAGTATTCTGGGAAATAATAAGTCGTTGGTTTAAATGTCACGCTGCAGTGAAATCTGTAGAATTATTTCGAGAAGTGCTTTTGCTGGCTGTTTGTATTATTACATATACTTTGTAAAGTTTTAAGCACTTGCAAAAATATATTATGTACTTGTGAAGCATGGAGTGAAAGTTGAAAATACCGAGAAAATACCGAGAGTCGAAATTTAATACCCTTACCATTATAGCCGGTTCGCAAAACCTTTCCTAGAACTGTAAGTTCAACGACGCTTTTCTTATTCATTGATTAGCAACAACTAAAGTTGAGGTTAAGCGCACCTTTCCGTTCTCTCTTCTTGTGTAACGATGTCTGCACAGGTTCTTGTTAATCTTTTGTATTTTTAAATGTGCTTTCACTTGGAAACTATTTTAAGTGCTTTTACTTTCTGAACGTCATTTCATTATGGATTAGTGGAAACGTCAGTTCTTGATTGCTAGTGTATGTTTCAAAAGTATCATGTTCTAAGTGTTTGTTCCAATAACTTACTCACTGAGTATTAAGAGTACGGAATCTATTTCTTTGTAAAAAATTCTGCATAGAAATGCTCGAAACTCATTTTAGATTATTTTATTTTTAGTGATTAGACAGTCGTGTGTTTCTTACTTACATAATGATATTAATAATAGTAATAATAATAATAATAATAATAATAATAATAATAATACGTTGTGTGTATTACATTTGCTCTTTTTGTAAATGTTTTCTGTGTACACCAAATGAAGATTTCAAGTTCTTCCCTAGATATTTTAATCATTTTTGAACCTCCTTCTAAATGCCCGGATTTATAATCATATATATTTCTAGTGCATTAAAAGAGTATGTGCATGCCAATTAATTTTAAATTTTCTTTCTTGTTTATTTACAAATCCTACCCATCTTCTCGAAATTCTGTCTTATAAACATTGTGATTTACTTCTTACCAAATCGTAAGATTGTTTTTGAATCTTCCTTGATCTTTAAAAATTGTTGTTAGATATGTACGCTCTGAATTAACATTTTTCGGGAATGTAGTTCGTAGAGCAGTGTAAACAGTGAAAATCGGAGACAGAGGAAGTCTCAATGGAAAGAAAATAACAGTAAGAAAATAAATATTTTTATATATCCTTTTGGAATGTACTGTCTCCAAATGTTTGATATATTGTGATCTTTAATGCTGTCAGGACGTAACTATACCAGCAATATTATTTCAGTAGGACGGGAAATGAAAATGTGCGGGAATGTTTCAGTCTAGTACGTAATGTCATGTACACTCTGGCGTTGAGATAGGTCAGGAACGTTAAGGAATCGCGAGAGAACGAAATTAGTCGTTGGACGAAGAACGTTGGTCGCTTTGAAGAATCGAACTAGATTCCCGATTTTAAAATAAGGAATTCTTTTTATTCTGCGGATTACCGGAAAGCAGTTTCCACGAGCGCCCATTTCGAAGAAATCGCGGGCGTAGTAAATAAGAGCGATTCGGCGCTCCTAACGGCGCGAGAAATCACGACGAACGGCCATTGTTTTCGCGGAGCGATAAGCCCCGGGCGCTCCCGACATTTTCGGGCTCCGGCTGCCAAGATGCTGAGAGGGCGGCCTTGGGTCGATATTGATACCGGCTGGCGCCTTTTTTGGGGAGTGTCGTTTTTCCCCCGTGCGCTAGCGGCTAATGACGGAGGGGGCGTGGCAGAGGCGGCGGCAGCTGGTGTCTGACGTGCGCGTGGTACGCGTGTTGCAGGTGTGGGCGGCAAGAGCACAGGCGGAGACGCGGGGAGCACCGCGGGAGAGCGGCAGCTGCGCCTGGCCTCCATCACCGCCGGTGACCACCACCATCAGCACCAACCACCACCCGCTTCACCCAGCGCCACCACCACCACACAGCAGCTCCATCCGGCCAGCGGGACGGCCGGCGGCGCGGCGCTAGCCTGCCGCTGCCGCTTCGTCGTGCTGCGTCTTCCGGCGGCGCGGGGGGCGGGGCCGGGGAGGAACGCGCGAGCAAGGCGAGGCGCGGGGCGCGGGGGACGCCGGCGCAGGAGGCGGAAGGCGGCGGCGCTGGCGCGAAAGGCGGGCGGAGCAGGCGGCCAGCGGCTGGCGGTGCGGGCGCGCGAGCCGAGCGGCGAAGCCTGGGGGCGGTGGCGCAGGCAGCGAAGCAGGCGGCGGGGACGCGGGCGCGGGCACGGCCGGCGGCGTTTTCTCCGAGCATGCGGTCCCCGCTATGGACATCCGCGCGTCCCCGCCGCCCGGCCAGCCGACGGCCGCGGCCCAGCAGCAACAGCAGCCACCGACCGCGCAGAACGCCGACGCCATGAAGACCGCCGCGGCCCGCGACGACAAGAAAGGTAAGCACACCTCAGGGCGTCTATGGGACCAAATAACTGCCAGCTCTGTTCACGTCGGATGTCCCCATAAATACACCATGTCAAAGAACGCCTGGTTAATGATTCGAACTTCAGGAATTCGGTGCAACTTTCAATAAAATGGAAATAATTGAATGCACAGTTTGCGCCTCCTTCACAAATTAATCATGAACAAAGAGCGGTTAAGCTATATTGCGCATAATCGTATGTGTCATGTTGAAAACCGACTCTTCAGAACGTGTGGCTCTTTTCAAATAAAGGAACTGATCTAATGTACTCGTATTGGCCCATAGATAAGCTTTGAGTGGCGTTTAGAACTAATTGTTGTGGACCTAGCAGTTATTTTGTAACATGTGTAATGCAGTGTTTATCAGGTTTTAGTTGGTAGAAGAGCAAGGAAAGTTAAATGAGCTTACAGATAATTGTTTTAGATTAACTTTATTATTAAAAAAATATTTGTAGGTTTAAATTCCTGATTATCTGAATGGAGTACTTCATAACTAGCAGCGGATTTTGATCACCAAAAGTATCGTTAGAAATGATCAATAAATGCTCTTAAAATGTTTTTATAGCGCCTAAAAAGCAAAGAAAAAAATGGCACATAAAATTACCCAAAACCAGTTCACATGAACAACTCAATGTTGGATATGGCTTCTTCCTTTCGTATAAGTGAACTCAGCTTACAAACTTTTGGTTTCGACTGAACTTTACCAGGACATATCTGCCTCCAGTTATCGCCGAACCGACAGTGGCGCTAATCAGGAATCTTAGAGTTCAGACACGGGCTGACATAATAATTTCTAAGTGATAAAATCGAATGGGATACACATGAATTCTGCGAATAACATTTATTTGTTGCATTTCGTTAATATTATTTGAAGAACCCATAAAATGGTATTAATATTAACACAAACGGCGAAAAAATCCTTTAAAAATGACAGGAAAGGTAAAAATTTACTTATTAATCTAAATCGACGAAAATGAAAAAGAAAAAGGATGAAAAAAAAGTCCTGTAAAAATGGGTCATTTTCTTTTGTCATAACATAAATTGAATGCCTATTCTAAAATGTTTTGTTCAGAAGTGAAAAGAAACAAAAATGACATTTCTTTAAAATTCCCTTATTCATAGCCATTGAATTTTATTTCAAGACAGACAGTGTTTAAAAAGGCGTATTCACGTATGTGTATATTAGTGTTAATATATTATTCAGAAAGGAAAGTCGGTTTCAGAAGTTCACATCGTATATTTCATGACGATCAAGATTCTTGGATCGTCGTTCAAAGTTATGTCACGTCGGTGTTTGCGCAACTACATTTCCTGTCCATCAGTGAATCTTCGCTGGCTTGGAAGGTCATACCTTTGAGTCTCGGCGAAAGCAAATTATTGTCGACAGCAGCAAAGCAGCTTGGTCTGGCAAAGGCTTGAAGCTTCTCAAGAGAACCGTTGGAGCCGCTGACTTTGATAAGTAATTTCTAGGGTTTCTTTTCTCCGTACCAATTATGAAGAGAAGCAGTAGCTTCCGTCACTGTCTTATTAGGTCACTAGGTTGTTCTTCTCGGTTGTTAGAAATAGCCGACAAACCACGTACAACCGTACTTGACCTTTCTTCGCGTCAATCTTTTCAGAAAGTCTCAGCGTAAATGCATTCTTTCAATGTCCTTTTTTATTCGTAATATATATCTCTGACAATAGGATGTTTTCTAGGAATTCGACTTTTGTTTTCGAAGACGAGTGACATGAAGAATAAGAAAAAAACAGTTCTTAAGTGGGTATCATTTTGTTGAAATGTATCTGTTAAAAAGCGAGCTCATCGTTATTTGAATCATGAAATAGACATAGTCTATCTCTATAATGTAAGACGTCTCACAGACTTTATTGATTTGTCAGAAAACGTAATTACTTTGTCGATACTTATGTCCTTGCATAATGTAATTTACAATGTCGATACTACTTTTGATCTTGTAACATGATTGCGTCCTAAGAACTTCCTTACAAATGGAAAGAAAGAATTGGCTGGCATTAACGCGAGGGAAGTGTGAAACACTTCCATGGACGATATCCAGCTTCATGAGAATTTAAACTTTGCGTGCGCGGTCCCCACCCCTCCGGCGTCTTTGTGGCGTCGACAGCGCGCGCGCTCGATCCATTGCCAGCTATAAAAATGCGTTTTCTCGAAATTGGCTTTGCCGCGAAGCCGTGCAGTATTTGTCGGAGTCAATCTTGAAGAGCGCGGCGTACGGCTCCCGCCCGCGAAGGGGGTCGGGGCTCGCAGCGAGCGGGGCAGGCAAGGGGTTCGTAGTGTGTGGTAGTTGACGTGGTGCGATGGAGATGGTGCTGCTGGAAGACTCGGAGTTCAGAGGGAAGGGATGGGCATGGAGGTCGTATGGTGGTAGGAAAGATAGGCTGGAATGAGACGGATGAGAATGGATCAAAGTGAGGCAACGGTAAGCGAGATGAGATGAAAGGATTTGGTTTGGACTGTGTGGTGTGAAGTGGTATGAAAGGATTGGGTAAAACTCGAAGGAGCAAGGAGTTGCGTGATGGAAGAGATGCGGAGATGTTGGAGAGGGGATGGCAGGCCGGGGAGGAGACGGAATGGAGGGCAGAACAGAGAAAGGGCGGGAACGGGGACTATGCGCGTAGCGTGAAATGGGCGCAAGGCGTGAAGCATGGCGTATGACGTATGCAGTGGGTGGAGTGAGGGCGGAGCGTGGATAGGGAGCGGAGCGTGGAGCATGGCGTATGGAGTATGCAGTGAGTAGAGTGAGGGCGGAGCTTGAAACGGGGGCGGAACATGGAGCGGGAACGTAAAGTGACAATGAGACGGGGCGTGGAACTTGAAGTTGGGTCGTGGGGTCAGGGTGTAGAGCGATGGTGAGGAGGGGAGAGGGCCGGAATGTGGAGCTGGGAGCGGAAGCGGTACCGTGGGGCGGACGGTGTAGTAGTTGGAGTAGGGAGATGTAGAACGGAGCGTGGAGAAACGGTGGCGTCTGCGCCCGGGGCGGAGCGCAGACGATCGCAGCATCTACCCCGGGGCTTCCGATAATCCAATTCGCCTTGAGGCGCGGCGCTTCGCGGCGGGTTGTTCTGGGGCGCGCGCCATGTATACGTCGGGCACCACCGAAGGAGGCGCCTCTCCACGGGGTCGCCTCGGCCGGCCCACGCCTCGCGGTCGGGGTGTTTCTCCCGTGACCCCTGCGACCCGTCTCCCAGGCGCGACCTTCCAGTTTCCTGGAGAGCCGTCGCGGAGTCGTAAAATGGCGAATAAACTCGGAGGAATACTATGTTTCTTTTCCCTATGAAAAATATTTGATTGTTTGTGTGATACGGGAATTTTACGACGTCAGTGAGAGTGGAAGATCTATTCTCACGTAATGAAAGACGTTCCGTGTGAAATTGAGTTTGATGACTGCTACATACTGATATGTGCAAGGGTAATTGGCTTTCTGGCAGGGTTAAACAAGACATTTTATTGTTTCGGAATGGTACCTAGACAATTCATTACACAAAATTCAGGCAGTTCCTCTGTGTAACCTTTTTTAAAAACGTTTTTATGAAAAATTTATTGATGAAAATTATTTACGTTTTAAATACGTATGTTACAACAACTTGATGAAATTTTCTACAGTAATAATTGTACGGCATTAGTATTAATGACATTGTTGAAACGTACGTTTCTTATTTTGTTGTGATGTGCTCTGTTGTGTTGTGATAGTGTTCAGAAATTTTAATCCACATTAATGAGACGAAATATAAATAACACTTGCATGACTGTTAAATGTATTAATTGTCAAAAACTGTTTGGAATCATATCGTGGAAATGTTACTTACACTCACTTTGACGTAGCCGTTTTCTACAAAGAATGTTACTCAGGGACCACATTAAAACAAAATTTAACTTTGTATTTCTCGTGCAAGATGTGTTATACGCTTCATACTCATTTTATCTGAGTCTAGAAAAGAACAAAACGTATTTATGACACTGTTATGCTTTTAGAACTTTCTCAAGTTCACAGATGTGTAATGCATGCACGCGTTTTCCTTAATGTTGGATGTTTGTAATTAGTTACTTTAGGATACACGAGCTCGTTTATCTTCGTTTGTTCCTTCCACCCTTGAGAGACTGTGCGATCTCGGCAACGAAGAAACCATTTCAGTGTATTTCTGATTACTAGAAATTATATATATTTTCTAGAATATGGCCTACGATTTGTGTTCTTTTGTTTACTAATGTTCATGTTTGGAATTGCAAAGAACACGAAATTCTAGGAAAATATTTTGAAAATCATCGTAGGATGTTTTATTGCTCAATTTTACATCTTGCTTTTAGTATCTTTCCAATTTTTTAAAAGTTTTGTAGTGAATTCTAGTGTTTTCTAATATAAAGAGTATATATTCTACAGTATTTTAATTCCACCGCACGGTTTCCAGAATCCTCTACACCACATGCACTTCGTTTTTTCTCCAACACATTTTTTTTCGAAGCTGCCTAGCTTGTTGCAACTTGGTTGAGTCAGACACTTTTGCTTCTGGAGTCAATTCACTGGTTTCCTGTTCACCATGTGCTATTATCTACAGTTCTACAATATCAGTAACAAACATTTGGTTTTCAGATACTTATAATTCTTTCTTGTAGATGAGACGTTTATTGACTATTATAAAAGACAACTATTTTAAAAATACACATTCTTAACATCATAACTAATGTCCCGCGGTAGAAGAAAATGCTGCTAAACAAAATCACACGAAATAATTTTCCATTAGTAGCACGCATCTTTTCGAGAATATATAATGAATTACTTTTATAACATGGCAATAAATTAAATATTTTTTACAAACCAATTTTTAGATCTCAATAACGTAATATTTGTATATAATCTCTAAAACAGTTGTTTACGTAACAAGAGCGTTTCTGTTCCAAAATGGAACATGTGTTATCAAATGTTTCGTATCTGGCATCATCTTTCTTGAAACCTTGTTG